AAAGGCTGGTAATTCAGTTTAGCAAGTACGGTCATTTTTGCGTTTTTAGGCTTGCGCGTGCCTATCAAAACAAAAATAGCAAAATATATTGTTATTTTCAGATTCTACAGTTTATTAGCTTTACATTGATATATAGTTTGCCGTGGTTTTCTTTAAAGCAGCGCGTAAAGAAAGCAATTTGCGGAAGGCACCCCTGAAGGTGTACAGTAACCTTAAGTTAACTAAAATGTTTAAAAATGCTGGGTCCAAATAAAGTTGTTGCATTCTTTTGCATAAGTTGTTTACATTAGGAATTTCATTTTGACTAAATGAGGTCCGAATATTCAACAGTATAGAATTGAAATATAATGGCACCTCTCACGTATCTTTTGCTTTCCCCTGCAGTCCCTTGATTTTCCTGCTGTTACAATCTGCAATTTGAATATGCTGAAAGCTAACAAGATAAACAAAAAAAAACTTCAGCAATTATTCAAGGATTTGGAAAACAGACGCCTTGACCGGGCAGACGGGTTATCTCAACAGCGAATTGACAAATCTATCATAAATACAACCGAGGAAAGCATGCAACAACAGATTAATGAATTGGAAACCTCGGTGAAGGAATCGCTATTGTCCAAGGCAAAAAGTTCTGCAGAGAAAGAACTTTTATCGAGTGTAAGTGTAGACACGTCGAGCTTAGACACGGCGTTCTTGGATATGATTTTGAAAAGCGTTCCAGAGGAAGATTTGGCCGAGATAGGACATGGCCTAGATGAAATGCTAAAGCACTGCCGATGGCTTTCGTTTAGCTGTGGAAAGGGGTAAGGAATGTCCTTCGCTCTTGGTATCTAACATAGTAAGACAAACATCAAAAAGCCATATCCTGCTGAATTCTTGAGTATGCTGTAAGGGTAATTGGGAGACATGAATCTATCTTTAAAACTTGAATTCATCTGCTTTTAGCCATCATTTTCTTCTTATACACCTATAAATGTAATCCTATAACTTAAACTACAATATAAAATGCAAAAACTCCTGCTAGCCCATCACTGAGCCTGAGTTTGGCAATGAGAAAAACCCAGAATAACAATGAATCATTTAATTAAATACCATGTTAAAGAGAATACATGCTCATGCATTACTAAACATTTGATGACTGATAGTTTAATACATGTACAAAGAAAGGATTGATGGTTTAATACACAGAAAGAGTTCATCAACAAACAGCCAAGACTACAAACAAAGAACTAGAGATCACTAGACACACCACCTCACTTTTGCTAACAAACAAATTAAATACTTCTGAATACAAACAACTTAATATAGACATAAACATTTTAACCAATTTTTAGAATTATCGCATTTTTGATTTTCCAGCAGTCTCAGGAGACTCTGGCGACATTTCTGGCATTGGAAGTATGGCAATTGTTACGTATTCAACTCGGGCTTGGCTCAAAATGGAAGCAGCTTACCGGTTATGAAAGTAGATAAAGCAGGGCCATATAGTGGTTAGTGCTAGGTTCTGTTTCTGTTCTTTTTTCCAACCACTCGTTTAGCAGCCATGTTGGATCATCGAGTTCATTGGATAATAAAATGGCGATTTAATTTTAAGGCTCAGTAATTCGTTACCCAGAGTGTAATGAATGCTTTTTCATCTAAAATATGAAACAGTGAACTTGCTGATAGATTTCTTCTATTTCTTACCTTTTCGTAGGCTTTAAAGTGGTTGCGCCGACACCAAACTGGCAATAGTTTTAGTTCAACGGCGTTTCCTTAAACTGCACGTACCATACCATACTATTATATTCCATCAGTAATCTGCAAATATAGTTGAATTTTATATTTTTGTATGTGTCCCTAAAATTAACAAAGTGCATTTGTTTTCTACAGGTCTTGAGATGGATATCTTTATTAATCAGGGAGAATACACAGCACTGACAGACGAAGCTGGAGTTAGAGTTGTATTGACCGACCAAACCCGAATGCCATTTCCATTTCATGAAGGCTTCAGTGTGCCGACCGGATTTTCAACCTCGGTTGGAATTAAAAAAGTAATTTTTTAACCTGTACAAATTTATGAAATCTGCTGACATCACATGAGTTGTAAAATTAAAACTTAACCTGACATTTGGTCGGAACAGCCAACGGAAAACGGAATGAACCCCTGACAAAGCAAAGACATGCATGTAACCTGTGTAAACCAATCATGGGTGGTCTTGTTTTTCTCCTGACTGGAGTTTCAATGGCAAAAGCAAATTATTTTACAATTTTGAAGATAAAGCATTCTTAGATCAAGAATCTATATCACGATTTTTGGCCAAAGACGTGTGGCAAGTTCTGTCAAAAGGTTGTGAGTTACAATCCATCGTTTTTTGTTTTATTTTTTTTTTCTCAGTTTATCATTACTGCTTGGGTGTGTTGCTACCTCTATATCGTGAGGTTTTGTTTGATTTAAAAGCAATTTTGATTGTTGCGATACAGCCCATTTAATCGTGTGTAAGTGACAGATCAAACGTGATAAAAATACTCTACAAGCTTGAGGCTTTGGCAATTCAATTTTGTCTTTATAATTCTGCGTCCTCTTTAATTACTGATTTGCATACAAACTCCGCTTTTTCCCTTTTAATAGAGATACATCCAACGAGTGGATCCTTATTCAAACAACAGTTGCATCGACGAAAGCAAGGTGAAAAATAAAACCGACATCTACAAAGAGAAATATCACGTGAACTACTCTTGTCAGGCAAGTGTTTATTATGGACCTAGCCACTTGATTTGTAGAGCGTTATTTGTCCATGAAGGTGTAAATTCATCAGGGTTGCCACGGTCAGGGAGAAGTCAGGGAAAATTAGATTTTATTCAAGGTCAGGGAGTTTTGTATCAGGTCAGGAAATTTCTAAGTCCCTGTTTAAGGTCAGTAAAAAGTCAGGGAATTTTATCTTAAGGTTGCCGCAAATTATTTTACTATACACAAGGCAATTTTGGTTTAGAAATTATCTCAGCCATCCTTATTTTTGTTGATTCATGGCCAGAATAATCATCCTGCAGGGCCAATGAAAATTGCTTTACAGTCAGTGAAAAGTCAGGGAAAAGTCGGATTTTTATTGTTCCGATGGGTGGCAACCCTGATTCATTTCATTCAAGAAACAACGAGTTAGGATGAGTATAATGAATTAATTATGTCCTTGTTTAAATCAGGATTTGCACGTACATAACTGATATAAGAGATAAAGTGAGATTCACTATAGTGAGTTACTGGAGTATTGTCTGAACTAATTAGTAGATCAGTAAATAAACGAAATGTGTCAAATGGTTTGCATATCTTCACCTTGGTTAATGAAGTTTACTTGATTTTCATTAATCAAGCTCAGTTTGAATTTTTTCCCGATCTTTGTGCCACTTGCTTTCGTATATGAACCACAAGTCACGTAATAAATTATTTCAAACTAGGAAGACCGTGTTTGACCACATTTCCAGGCACCGAGAAGAGGGCTGAGAATACGACGCGCAGCGGAGTATTTTTGACGAACTTCGAGGTGTTTGGAAATATGGTCAAACATTGCCTTGAATTTTTGATATATCTTCTCAATCGAAACCAAAACTAAGGAGAAAACGGAGAAATAAAATCGCACAAATCTACGCTAATTAAGATCAGATATTCTAACACCGTCACTGTCATTATTTCCTCTGTTTAAACTTGATGAATTATTTAAAACTGGCAGTGAGTTTGAGAATATCTGATCAACTTGCTCAACTCCAGTGCCAAGTTTGGATATTTTCGATGGCGCAGCTATACAACTGAAAATTATTATTTAGACACCATTCACATAATAGTATCACTATGAGAACTACGATAATCTTCACGTCAAAGTGACATCAGTCATACTGAAAAAACCTAATGATGTATCTATATATCTCAAATATGAAAAAACAAAACTCTTTCACTCAAATTGGCAAATGTTTCTTTATAGCGTGGCACTTAATTCATACAGAAAAAGCTTATTTTACTTTATTTTACTTCCGTAGGCTTGCAGAATGTCATGTTTAGCTACCAAACAAGTGGAAACATGCAATTGCTCTGAGCCGCGGTTTCCCACCAACAGTTCTGCATGTTTAAGCGTACAGCAACGTAAGTTTTATCAATGGTTGATGATAGTAAAGCTAATCTCAATTTTGTCCATGTAGGTTTTTTCTTCGGCAAGAAATCACTGAACTGCGTACAGAAAAAAAAGACAAGCAATGGCCCTACTATTCAGAGAGAGTTTACTAGAAAATTCTGCATTGCAAAAGATTTGCGCAAGAACCATGGGGCGCGAAACTTCACCTACGCATTAATAAATAAGACCAAACATTCTCGTTTCATAAAGTAATAAGGTATACCGGCTCAATACCTCCTGGGGATTATTAACAAAAGTAAAGTGAGTGAAAGTAATGAGTTCCACAGGTTCTATCCTAACTTGACACTTGCTTCATGTTTTGCTTTGAGCTCTGAGCAGCCTTTTCCAGCTGGGTCCCGTTTTTTGGATTTTGCGGTTTTCATGACCGTGAGCCAAATATACTTACAATGTGCTTTTGTTTTTTTTTTGTTTTTTTTATGCAGCGTCCATTAACAAAAAACTTTCTTCATTGATTCCATTTTTTTTTTTTTTTTTTGTTTCTGTCAAATCAGACCAATGTATAAGACAGGTAGAAGCCACGTTCACAGCACTAGGACAGGACTGTGACACCAAGTGTCCCCGGCCATGCTTGTAAGTCCGTCTCCGACTCCTAAGTAATACTCTAGTTCTTTCATTCTCAGTTAGATTTTTTGCTTGAGAGATGTCTCTGCGAGGAGAACGATTTTCTTTGAGGAAGAGTATAAGAAGTATGTCGGAGCAATATTTGCTTTTTTTTTTTCGTGAGGACATCCGCGCTTTTGCTTTTTCTTCCCTAATTCAGTATTAAGGTTACCCTGCCATTAAAAGTTTTATTAGTTCTAGGACTGAGTATTGAATTACTTTTAATAGTTATAAGCAATGGTTTTTTATTACTGGTTTTAAATGATGTCAAGCCGTAAAATTAAAAGTGAAAATGACATTCAAGAGTAACAAACTGATCATGAACATCCAACTGTTCGACTCCATTGTTTTTTCTCCGAAAGATGGCGATTGTTTTCTATGAGACTTCTAGGAATCAGCGACATAAAAGCTGCATTCCTCCTGTTGTTTTAATTTCGTTACCAACAATTTAACTGTCTTTGTTTTCGCAGAGAAAATGTCTTCAGGTATACAGTTTCAAGTTCTCGCTGGTCAAGGGCATTCAACGTAAAGGAATATTTATGATTTATCTTTTTCCTCCAACGACTAATCTAGTACAAGAGATTTCCTTTTATTTTGACATACTCCAGATGTCACACGTTTCATACTGCTTCTAAGTACATCACTTAGAGAATCAAATTTCACATATGTAGAATTGTGAAACAGTCATTTAGAAAACTTGTTTGATTCTTACTAGGTGGCAAAAAACAAAATCATTTCTTTATTTCGCAGACATTGATTAAAAGAAAGTATTTGAAGATGGACTCCGTAGGAAATGCTCTACTGGCAAGGTAGTCGGTAATCCATGAGGACCCATAAGTAGTCAAGGTCACACTTTGAAATTCTCCGTAATGTTTGATTACAGTAATATTAGAGTGTTTGTTACGGTTACTAGATGAATTATGCACTTACAGAATTGCAGATAGCACATGAAAAAGTATTACAAATTATTTGAATCGAAAACAGTAAGCAGTGTTACACAATTAACCATCCGTATCAATTCAACTTGTTAACACTAGAACTACAGACTTTGAAACCGTGCTTGTTTTGCGCGCTGAGCCTATGAAGTAACCTACTTATAAATAAACTTTAGTTTGGAATGTTACTATTTATTTAGAGTAGAAAATTGTTTTTGCTGAAGTTATGTACAATTTTTGTTCTTTGTTCACTTCAACAGTGAAAACTTTTTGAGGTTGCAAATTTTCTATGAAGATCTGAGCGTTTCCAAAACTATCAACGAAAAAGCATACAAGGTAAGCCTGAGAGTATCTTACTAACCGAGCGCGATGGCCGTAATGGGAAAATAGCGAGGTCCGTATGAAAAAAAAAGACTGAGGGCTGATATTCTCCCAGTAAAATCTCGAGCAAGTTTGGTTAATAATAGATTTATTACACTCGCACGACTGAAATTGTTTAGAAAAAAAAAATGATCCACGATCACGGAAAAATATCACAAACTTTAGGCGCATAATTCTAATCAGTTGGGAGCCGAGTAGGCGCATACTCACGTCTGATGTTAAACAAAACAAAAGAGAATGAAAATTGGAAGAAAAAGAAAAAGAATCTTTTATTTGAAAGCAAGTTCTTTCAGAAGCCATAAAAGTAGCAGAACATTTTCAAGAGTGATCGATCGTGCGGGATCATTCGGGACAGTACCCGGTCCAATACTTAGAGAATATTGGACCGGCAAAGGCGCAATCTGATCACTAAATTTTAGTTATTGTCCCTCTGAACTAACTTTGTCATGTAATAATATTTGTTAATTGTTTCTTAAACATCCCGTCATGCTTCCAGCATCATTTTTTTTAACCTATTCTAGGGTAGTAAACCTATGGGAGCCGTTGTTGTTGGTTTATAAATTTATTAACATTTTATTTGTTCTTATATTTAGATTGAAAATCTCTTGGCTGACATCGGAGGTCAGTTGGGCTTGTGGATTGGCTGTTCTGTCATGACCGTTGTTGAAATATTGGAGCTAATAACAAATTTGTTGACCTATCTTTGGGGTAAGCACAAGGAGAAATAAAAAGCTGGCAGCTGATGACGCACCTTCCAGACCACGTACGAGAAATCAAAAATGTCGTAACACCTCTCTATAAAATCAAAATAAATAAATAAATAAATAAATTACTTTATGTAAGCGTCAAAATATTTAGCACTGCTGTGCTAATTGGAGGCACTGAAAAAAGAAATTGAACAGAAACTTAACAGGAGTCTGAACAGGAGTCTTTTGCTTATAAATTTATATCCTGCTTTGATACTCCTATATTTGTATATCTTTGACTGTGTATGTACACTCACTTTGGCAAGGTGTAACTTAAAGTGAACGAAGACAAGAAAAACATTATCAAGAACAAATTACGACGAAAAAATCATATTGCAAAGCAGATGAGTTATCTGTGCAGACCTACACTGAGGTTGGGGCGAACTTAACCTCGCCTAATTCCAACATCTGGAGTTGATAGTTCAATGTATATTCGGCTTAACCCAAATTCTCGAGGCATTTATACTCAAATATCTGATCTTTTTGCGACTTTGTCCAGCAAAATGATCTATTTAATTGAACAGATACACGTTTAACTGATTTTTCTAAAGCCCTTTAAGGTATTCCTGGAGACTAATTTGAACATTTTTCTCACATATCTTCATACGTCAAATCCATCAAAATATTGGTTCAAAGTTGTTTATACTTTCACACCTAATACAGTTTTGTATGTAGATTCCCTAAAAAACAATTTAATTCTGAAAGGATGAAAGGCATTCCTGAAATTTGATATTTTAATGGACGAGTTCTAAACTTATATTCCTAGCGCTTCAAAGAGCTGTAGTTGTTAATTTCAGAAACTGAAAAAGGTAGCCTGCTGAAAATATAAGTAATATTACAACCTATTGTTGATACGGAAATGCGTGTGCAACACAATTACACCCTACTAAAACATACTGTGGGATAAACGGTCGGACCTCTCTAAACAGACACCTATATTCTACGGACACCTCCATATAACGCCGGGACAGCGGACTCTATAACATAACCTCAGGTAGCAAAGTTAATATAAGCTCTCTCTATCGCGGACACTAATTATGTATGTTAAGTGCATGAACGTGAAATCGCAATCAATTACGAAGGTTCGACTTTATTTAATAACGATGAAAATTAAAATTTAAATGGCTGCACGGGAAGTAAAATAACCATAATTCGACGCACACAAGATTTACAAACATTATGGTAGATGAGTATAAGTAGTGGAGACTAAAATATGCAATTTTAAGTATATATGCAATTTTAAACTTAATGTAAAATACTCGCTTTGCATCTAGATCTACTTTCTATCTTCCAAAAATTCGAACAAATTATGGCAAATTTAATATTCGATTTAATGGACCTAAATTATGGAA